TACAGAACATGTCAGTGAGCAGGGATAAAGTGAACATTGTCATAAAGAAATGTAATACGCATACGGTGAAGTACCTGATTGTCTGGGCTTGGGGTCGACATCAGTCGCACATGCAGTGGTTGTAGAGCCGAATGCTGGGACTAGGGTGGATATGAAGTCCTTCAAGTTTTTAAATTCATCTGACATGTGCTGCATGAGTTCGAGCTTCACAGTGCGGAGCCGCATTTCGAACAGAATTCTTTGATCTAGCAACATCCCCTGAACATCGTCTGCTGTGAGACTTGATGCAGCCGCTGCAGTAGGTCGTACATGAGAGATGGACGGTGCCATGGGAGAAGTAGCTCTATGCTGGTGGGGGGGGAGTCCCCGTCTGTCCACTTCGTCCAACTCGATCACCGTCACTATCCTCACTGTCGTCCTCCTCCGAGTCCCCACCTTCTTCCTCTCCGCTCTCATCGGCTCCTAACTTCTCCTCACCACTGGTCCCGCCACCGTCATGGGCCTCCTCAGAAGTATCACCCTCGGGGGTGCCTATACGCTCGGCTTGGAACTGCGGAGCAACACTGTCCCTAGCAAGGTCATCCAACGCAGGGACAGGATCATCATTGAGCAGCACAAGAGTGGCGATATGAGGTTGCCCACGCTCAGTCTCGGTGGGCCGCAGTGTCGCGTACACGTGTAGCTACAACATGAACATATTCGTTACGAAATAACCACATGCTACAATGACGAATGGAAGGTATGAGATCGTAGAAGTAACATAATTTTTTACCTGTACATTCTTGAAGAAAGCGTCGTACGTACGCTGCTGCGGCTGTTTTGTTGATGTCCAGCCGAGAAGCCGTGGGGAACGTTCCCCAAGACGCTCACCGAAGCGGTCACCAATTTCAGGCACCGCCTCGAACGCCCATATCTGTTAGAATAAAAAAGGAATGTCAGTTCAGAACGAAACCAACCACGAAATACATTTGCATTGAAATAATTTGTAGGTAAAATAAAGATACTTGTATGGCAATGGGAAAGCCGTGGACCGTGTAGCTAACCGCCTTCTCCTTCTTCTTCGTCGCATCCAAAAATTTTCTTGCCCAACGGCCCCGAAAGCCCTTTATCAGACGTCCGTACGAGATTCTACCCCAAGGATACGAAAAGAACAAGTCTAGATCGTCGACGATCGACAACGTCTCCATATCGATACCAACGTTGTTATCCGGAGCATTGAAGACTCCTTCGATGATCAAAGCGAGGCCAAGCTTGTACCGATCGGCTCGAGGCGTTGACGATCGAAGAAATGTCTGCTCGAGTTGGGCGCACAAAATCTTGTCCACATGTTTAAAGTATTTGTCCTTTAGTCTCCTCTTCTCAAGAACTCGGTCCATGACATTGTCATCCGGGAGAAGACCATACCTTAATGCAGTCACAATGGCATATTCTTGAATTCCGAACCTAGCGAGGTGGCCTTGCAAATTAAACCACAGTTCGTGCCGCTTCTTTGTTTGTAAGCAGCAGAATACGAGTTGTTGGATTAATTGGGCAGAGAACTGGAGATCTGGAACCTCAGACAAGAACCCAAGGCATGAGTTGCGAAACTCTTCCTGCTGTCGCTCGTCAAAATGTTCCACGACTGTTTTTATATACCGCAGATTGCTTCTCTACGATACGTGGCCCCGCAAGCGTGCATTTTCCGAAACAAGAGGCTCGAAATCCATGTCTACAAAGACAAAATAAGAAAAAATTGCGTCAGACCACAATATAAACTTCCTCCAGCATTGAAACGGAAGATATTCCCACATCAAACATGATTTCCACATCATAAATTGTTGCATGCAAAAAATAAAAGGAATACTTATATCTGAACGCATATCACATAGAAATATCATTTTCTACTGGTAGGCCCTAGGCAGGCAGGAACTGAACTGTTGGTCCCGACATTTTATCCGTCGACGGTTCATCTGTCGAGAATTACAGAGGATAAGTGTCGGGTACGACTGTTGAGAAACAACTATGTATAGATGAACTGTCGGGAAATCCTGTTTTGAATATGTTTCCTGGTTATTAACATATTTTGATCATACAAAACAAAAAATAACTGCAACTGCAAAGAAAAGACCAATCTTTGAACCAATGGAATGAGTTGT